TCCCTTTTGAAAATATGGCTTGATAATGTTTTATCAGGACTGGGGTGAAGCAGGTGTGTTGCCCGGGTGCCAGGTTTAAGGAGGTTCCCACCCTCGGCGTCATGCCATGCAGTTTTTTGCCCTTAACTACGCTGTCATCTGCAACTCAGCTGTGAGCAAAGGGTTGAAAGCTTAGGGAAATGTACTTCACAGAGACTGAAGTTTAGGGGTTAAAGAAAAAGATGTGAAATTTCCCAGCTGGTGGAGGACCCCTCAAACATGTACAATGGATACATGGAGAAGGCCCACCAATAAGGCCAGTCCTTGGTTTGAAGAACAATGACCTATGAGTATGAGGGGGGAGGCAACTTGTAATTTTACAAAGAAATGCATAGGTTGGATATAAAACTGAAAGCAACAAATGAACACACGAGAAAAACAAACAGAAACTCCCAGCCACAGACAACAGTATGGTGGTCAGCAGAGGGAAGGCGGACAGAAGGGTAGCAAAAGGCCGAAGGGGTCAAGTGCATGGTGACGCGGGGCGATAAACGCACAATGCACTATACAGATGCTGGACCGTACAATTGTAGGCTTGAAACCTACGTTTATGAACCAATTTTATTAACCAATGTCCCCTCCGTAAATTTAATTTTAAAAGCATTTGCAGCTAACGAGCTCTTTCTCAGAACAATTTTCCCACTTGGGCCCTAAAAATAAGTTTTTAAAGAATTGTACGATGTTTAATTCAGAACGCACAGTAAAAACAAAGAAACAAACAGAACAGAACAGCAACCGCACACAATTAGCAGAGGAATGCCTACTCTATGACTTACCCCGGACACGGCTACACTCCATAAGCAGAATTTAGGGGGATTTCTGCCCCCTCAGCATGGCATCCAGACAAAGGTTGCCACCCAGTGACAAAGCTAACCCCTCTCAGGACCAGAGAGCCTTGCTCACTACTGATTATCATCTGCCAGGAACTAGGATGCTATTAATACTCGGAGAGCTCTCTGGACTAGAAATCCATTGCTAGCAGGAGTCCAAGTCCATTTTTGTTTTAGGCAGTTAATCTAATTTGACTTTCTCCTGAGCACTGCTTAACAGAAATGGCCCTGCCTGGTTTGGCTCAGTGGATACAGCGTCGGCCTGTGGACTGAAGGGTCCCGGGTTCAATTCCGGTCAAGGGCACATGCCCCGGTTGTGGGCTCGATCCCCAGTAGGGGGCATGCAGGAGGCAGCCGATCCATAATTATCTCTCATCATTGATAGTTCTCTCTCTCTCTCCCTCTCCTTGCTTTTTATAGTGGTAAGCGCTCTAAGGGAGGCGGCAAGTCCTGTGAGGGGACAGAGGAAGGAAAGATGAGTTCTGGCAGCGGGCGGAGGGAAGGTCTGATGGGACAGGTGGCCTGGAAGCTGGGTCTGGAAGGATGGGTAGGATTTCAACAGGCGGATGTCGGGGTGGGAGTCCGGGGAGGAGGAAGGAGCAGAAGAGCAAAGGAAAATGCAACCCGTGTTCAGGGAATGTCGCGTGGCGAGGGGTGACTGGCTCCCGGAACACGTTGGGGGGAGACAGAACGGATGTGTTTAACGTTACACGATGGAGCACCCTCCCTTGGCGCCGGGCTGTGTCCGTGCTGTTTCCGACCTAGTGGACCTGAGAGCAGGCATGTGCCATCATTACATCAGGGTTTTCAGAACACTCATCTGAAGCTACTTTCCTTTGTTATTAGATACTCTTCATTGTGGTGTCCTCTGCCATTCTTTTAATAGAGAATAAAATTCACAGCCCGGCCGGCATGGCTCAGTGGTTGAGTCAGGAGGTCAAGGTTCGATTCCAGGTCAGTCGGGGCATGTGGTTGCAGGCTCGATCCCTAGTGTGGGGCGGCAGGAGGCAGCTGATCCATGATTCTCTCTCATCATTGATGTTTCTGTCTCTCTCTCCCTCTCTGAACTCAATAAAATATATATTTTTAAAATAAGATTCACACAGAATAGCGTCAGAGCTGTTCACCACAGCTTCGGCAGTATATAGTATCTAGCCCAGGGGGGGGCAAACTTTTTGACTCGAGGGCCACAATGGGTTCTTAAACTGGACCGGAGGGCCGGAACAAAAGCATGGATGGAGTGTTTGTGTGAACTAATATAAATTCAAAGTAAACATCATTACATAAAAGGGTACGGTCTTTTTTTTTTTTTAGTTTTATTCATTTCGAACGGACCGGATCCGGCCCTCGGGCCGTAGTTTGCCCACGGCTGATTCTAGCCCTTCTGCCCCTTAAATTGTGCCCCTGTCATGTGCATACTAAACTCTGAGCACAATTGCGTCTAGAAGTTCCTGGAAAAGACGGGTCTTGCCCTTGCCTGGCCCAGGGATTTTGTCCTTCTCCCAGCCTCCATACAACCAGCTGCTTCTTAACTCACCCCTGGCAGCCAATCTAAAGCAACACTCATGATATTTCCTACCTAGAAACCACACTTATTTATTATTTATTTGGTTCGTTTTCACTCTCCGCCACTGTCAATGCGGGCACAGCTCAGGGAGTTGTGGTCCCTCAGGGTATCCCCGGAGCTTGGCCGAGTGACTAACACATGTAAGAAGCACAAAAATACTTATTGAGTAAGTTCACTGAAGTCCGATTAATGTTACTAGAAAACTGGAACGATAAATACACCGGTTAGAGAGACACCTAGGTAAGTCATTTATGCCCAGCTGGTGTGGCTCAGTGGTTGAGCATGGAGCTATGAACCAGGAGGTCACGGTTCGATTCCCGGTCAAGGGCACGTGCCCGGGTTGCGGGCTTGATCCCCAGTGTGGGGCGTGCAGGAGGCAGCCGATCCATGATTCTCTCTCATCATGGATGTTTCTCTCTCTCTCTCTCTCCCTCTCCCTTCCTCTCTGAAATCAATAACAATCTATTTTTTTTTTTAAAAAGTCATTCAGCATCTGATTGTGGAGGTTTGTACCGAGGACTTGGGAACCACGGGTTCAAGGTTGCAGAGCGTCTGACGGCTTTGGCGTTCCTGCCGGACTCGCGTTGGGAGGTGCATTGCTTCATGGGGGAATGTCCTCTCGGGACTTTTGTTCCTGTGCCCCCACCTCCCCCGCCTCCAGCATTTTCTGGCCACGACTTCAGCTAAGTTCGAGGCTTGGTGATTTTCCTAATGATCTGGACATGGACCGCTCCCTCCCAGATGGCCGTGGAGTGAGCTGCCCACGACCTGGTCATAAGGCCTGACTTGCTGAAAAGAGGGGGGTGGGGGGGTTGGAAGTGGAGGGGGCCCTGGGACGTCACCCAGCGGCTTTGGGAGCGGCCCCAGCAGCCAGGCTCGTAGGCCAGCACCTTGCCTGGCCGTCGGGCTTCCTGACTTACTCCGAGGTACGGAGCTGTTTACGATGCTTTTGATAGAAAGTAAATGGCCCTTCATTCTACCGTATGGGAAAGTTCATATTGAACATGTTTGAAAAGCCTTTTCAAAGGGTGGTTCTCCCATTGGCTATAAAATGTTACAGTCTTGTTCTAAGGATATAAAGGTCTGTGATTGGAGTCTCTGCTTGAGGCTAAAGGTGGAATTCTTATAAAGGCCGAGGCTACAGCTAAGAGCCACTCCTTTCTGGCTTTGGAACCAAAAATACATCGAACCAAAGACTCCGTGTATAAGACCGGTAGGTTTGATTTGAGACTACTTCTAAAATTACGTTTCACCTGGAAGGTGAGTAAAATTATACTTATTTACACATCTCATGGTTTTGAGAGTAAAACACAATTAGGACTATAACATTCAGTTCATTCTTTTTTAAAAAATATATTTTTTTTATTGATCTCAGAGAGGAAGGGAGAGGGAGAGAGAGAGAGAAACATCCATGATGAGAGAGAATCATGGATCGGCTGCCTCCTGCATGCTCCCTACTGGGGATCGAGCTCACAACCCGGGCATGTGGCCTGACCGGGAATCGAACAGTGACCTCCTGGTTCCTAGGTCGATGCTCAACCACTGAGCCACGATGGCCAGGCCCACATCTAGTTTTAATGTCCTCTCCGCTGTGGAGAGCAGTTTACACTCCAGGTTACCCTCTGTTAGGAAACAGGTATTCCAGTCTAGCTGCCTGTGGTCATCTAGATGTCCCCAGACTTATGCTCGGATAGAAGAACCAATATTTGGTGATCTCCTGGTGCGTTCCTAGGGGAGCAGAAAAAAAAAATAAGGAAAAATAGCTGTCCTTTTGCTACTCCCTGCTCCACCCTGCATGCTGGCCAGGGACAGGGAAATAAAGGCTGGGAACTCCGAACAGTCGGCCCGCGGCAGATATGAAACCAGAAGCAAAGAGTGTTACTGCTCCCCCGAGGCCCTTCGCCTTCCAAACAGCTACACCTGGGTGTGCCGGCGGGATTCCGGGAATCCCTTTTTACGGTCACGGTTACGATCCTTTCGGAAAAGGCCAGGAATGAGAGCCCTCTCTGGCGAGCAGCAAAACCAGAAGCCAGAGCCCGCGGAGGGCGGCGAGCCAACAGAGCCGCCTGAGCCTGGGGCTGGATACTTTCCTTATTTTCTAAAATATATTTTTATTGATTTCACAGAGGAAGGGAGAGGGAGAGAGAAACATCCATGATGAGAGAGAATCATGGCTCGGCTGCCTCCTGCACGCCCCACACTGGGGGTTGAGCCCGCAACCCGGGCCTGTGCCCTGACCGGGAATCAAACCCTGGACCCTTCAGTCCGTAGGCCGATGCTCTATCCACTGAGCAACACAGGCTAGGGCAGGCTGGATACTTTAGGTGCCACAAACTGTACACATTTATTCACACATCCAGGAACAAGGAAACAGTTGCACGGCTGACCTGTTGCACTGTCACAAGGAAAACCAAAAAAACAAAGAAGAAAAGAAAGAAAAAGGAACGGCTAAGCAGATGATGTGTGAAAGCTGTAAACTGCTGAGCAGAGCGAGCACAGCGTCTCTCCCAGGACAATGTGTGCCTACCGCCCCCCCACCCCCCACCCCAAGCAGAAGCAGCGACCTGCATCACCAGGGCCGCCCCGATCCCACCAGGTCCCGCGCAGGGGTACCCCTCGCTGGGGCATGCTGGCTCCTTGTTCAGCGCCTGCTTCTCCTCGTGGGCTGGGAGCCCCTGCGGAAAGACAGGTCCAAAGCCTAGACTTTTTTTCATATCTCCAATGGCTGGCACGTTGGGAACACTTTGTAAGTGTCTGTTGATTATAGAGAAGTCACATTTCTGACAAAATAAAGCGCAAGTTCTGAGCTGATGGCCAACTTGTCAGCATTATCTGTGACGCTGTTATATTTAAACAATTACAGCCAGGCCGGCGTGGCTCCCCAACCTGAGTATCACCCTATGGACCAGGAGGTCACAGTTTGATTCCTGGTCAGGGCACATGCCCTGGTTTTGGGCTCGATCCCTAGTGTGAGCATGCAATGATTCGCTCTCATCATTGATGTCTGTCTGTCTGTCTGTCTCTCTCCTCTCTCTCTCCCTTCCTCTCTGAAATCAATAAAAATATACTTTAAAGAAAAAGCAGTTACAGATCCTTCCTTTCAAATCCCCATGCTCTACATGATTCTGTTTTTACACCCCGCCAAAACAGTTTAAATGCACCTGCCCTATGCCAGCTACTGAGGGTTTACGCAGATGGAAAAAAATAAAATCTCCTCCTTCAGGGAGGTTATTGAGTCCTTGTAATGAACCCCAGTCTATATATTCAGAAGCCGCCCTAATAAATATTTTTGGGTTTATTGGATAGTTCTGGCTGTCATTTGAAACAGAAAATCAGTTAAACACCATCGCAGTTCATATTGACTCAACGGCTCCAAACCTCAGTTGGCCAACGTGTGAATCATATGGAGACAATCTGAATCTGACTGCCATCGCGAAACGGCAGGGGTAGCTACGCATGCATGAGGAACGCGTGTCCGTGTCCACAGTGCAGCTTGGCAATTAGGAAAGGACCCTTTCTCGTTGCCATGAGAGGGGCTTTCGGGTAGCCCGACTATTGCTCTGGTGCGTGGGGAGTCTGAGGACCCCGCGGGCCGCTCTGCCTTTGACCTTGGCGAGCCTCTGAGGTGGTGGGATTTTGCCTGCTACACTGATCATCCGGGAAAGTGCACCGTCGCCCCACAATGAAACATTTCTATTAGTCCAAGAATAGTGGTTTATGGCAAAACCACCCGACAGGAGCACATCACCCTTCCGAAGACCAAAGGTATTTTTACAACGGAGGATTCTCTTCCTCCCTTTGTACGGACCCATCTGAGGCCTCTTCAGACACCGGGCGTCGGCCGCGCTGTCTCATTCCACCCCGAGAACAGAGTTCACGAGGTTTGCTCCAAATTTGGGTGGAAAGAACTTTTTATGAGGAGTTAGTTGTTTTATCTTCCACAGTTCAGTCACTCAAGGTCGACGGCATGTACACTCCACGGGAGCAGGATGGCGAGCATAAATGAAAGAGGCCGGGGATATGGCTCTTCTGCTTGGTCACGCCCTGAGGGGTCTCTGTGCTGCCCCCTGCTGCTCTCGCTCCTGGAGTCAACCGTCCGCTTAACACTGCAAGGGACAGTACCTCCCTTATGACAACAGTCCATCCGTTGTGGACCCTCATTGTTGTATGGGAGCACTGTGGGTAGGAACTGCTGCACCTCATTCATTCATTCATTCCTCCATTCATTCATTCAATAGAGAGTAAATGAGGGAGGTGCCTACTATTTACTGGGGAGTCTGTCTCAGGTGGATGCCTGGCTGTTTGCATGCCTGGTTCCAGAAATAAAAGGAGAGAGTAGGCAGAGGAGCCCTGGGCAACAGGAACTGGCTAAAGAATAGCAGGACGGCCCGGCTGGTGTGGCTCAGTGGTTGAGTGTCAACCAATGAACCAGGAGGTCACGGTTCAATTCCCAGTCAGGGCACATGCCCGGGTTGTGGGCTCGATCCCCAGTGTGGGGCATGCAGGAGGCAGCCGATCCATGATTCTCTCTCATCATTGATGTTTCTGTCTCTCTCTCTCCCTCTCCTTTCCTGTCTGAAATCAATAAAAAAAATATATATTAAAAATAATAAAGAGTGAAGCTGATGAAAAGAAAGGGAAACCGAGTTATCTGTTAAATACGCTGCCGTCCTTTGCCAGGCACGTCCATGACAGGCGTAAAAATAAAAACCAGCCTTTCTGAGCGGTGCATCCGTGACCAAGACCCCGGCCCCTTCTTCCGGAGGGAGTGGGGTGCATACAGTCGGGGGCGCATTTTCTCAGCCATTTGGAGGGTGCAGGCTCCCCCTGGTCAAGGGGAGGCGTGGCTTTTCCCCGTTTGCATATTGCCCTCTCCTGGACTGTAAGGATAGGAGTGTTAAGAGCTCATCAGATGCCTGTATTTCCACCCACCTCTGCATGGGAGACCGGTATGTGCATGAGAAATCCTTTAAAATATTCAGAAAATCGCCCTGGCCGGTTTGGCTCAGTGGATAGAGCATCAGCCTGGGGACTGAAGGGTCCCGGGTTTGATTCCGGTCAAGGGCACATGCCCAGGTTGCGGCTGGATCCCCAGTAGGGGGCGTGCAGGAGGCGGCCGATTGAGGTTTCGCTCTTCCATACACGTTTCTCTCTCTCCCTCTCCTTCCTCTCTCTCTAAAAATAAATAAAAGAAAAAAATCTTTAAAAATAAAGAACACTATGGTAGTAAGAGAAATAGCAAAGCAAACAGAGGTAGATGGCATCAGAGGCCTACATTATAAGTGCATACTCTCCTCTTCAAAACAGGATGTCTCATTTATTGCTTCTAATTGTGACTCCTTTCAAGCCCCATACTCCACACATTTATCCATTTGGAACCTTTTTTTTTTTCTTTTCACTTTTCTCCTAAATCAGTGGTTCTCAACCTTGGCTGCACATGAGAATCACCTGGGAATCTTTTTAAAATCCTGATTTCTGGGCCTCCTCCTCCGGAAATTCTGTTTCTTTGTTACTAATGTT